GGATAATGAGGCGGGGGGGGGGGGGGGCACGTCCAAGGACACCCCCGATTCTACAACTCCTTGCATCTCACATCATTACAGAGACCTTAGACAGCTCAATGTGGCTCCCACTTCCACATGAAGGCTGGGATGATTCAACCTCTGCCTCCGAGAGGGCAGCCTGGAGCAATTATCTTTAGTCCCCTCTAGTCTTACACTCTCAGCACATAGCACAGCAGACTGCATGCAGCTTAGGATGTCCCTCTCGATCCCTTCTGGAGTCACAGCAAGAACATTCTACATCAGAGAAGTGACCTGGTGCACACAGTTTAGTGGGACCTGGAGGAGAAGAGCTGGGGAGATAAGGCATCACCTGTGCCACTGACTCTGCTTTCCAGATACACTCCATCTGTGTGCCACACAGTTCCCATTCACAGATTAGAAAAGAAAGACTCCTAGGTACCTTTACTTGGACAAGGTCACTTTTGAGCATGGGCAAAGCTGAATTTGAATGTAGGTCTTGACACTACCGTACCCTGGCTCCAGATTATATAGAGTAGGTGCTTAGCAAGCACCCCAAAGCCATTTAGACTATTCCCACTGCCCATGGCCTCTACCAACCTACCAGGAACTTTCTCACTCTCTACTACAGATGATGACATGAAGCCCATATACTAGTGAGCATCTCGGGCATTGTTTATAAAATGGGTCTCTGGACATCGATGTTTCCCTCCACTAAGCAAATCAGCTCAGGATATTGGCAGCATCACTGGGCTGTGCTGAGTGCCAGGTGAATCAGCCTTCATGCTTCTTGCCACGGGACACCCACAGCCACCACAGTGGCAGCTACCTATCACCTTTACAGGATGAGATGCCACACTCTCCCTGGAGAAACTTGAACCACATCAGAGCCTGGGAGCAGTGGGGCCCAGGTCTTCAGGAGAGGAAGGAAGGCCAGCTGTTTCTGCTGGTTAGGACAGCTGTCCCTAGGCACTAGTCACCACCTCTGCCAACACAACCTACCAGCAGCTCCTGGGTAGGAAGCCAAGGAGACTGAGAAAGGAAGAATGAGCCTATGTGAGGCAATCGTCCCCCCACTGTGAGCAGATACTTCCCATTCCAGGCCCAGAGGACAGGGACAGGAGCCCTGTCTCTGGCCCACTTCCTGCTTCCTGTGTCCCCACGTGAGGAGTGGACCCAGAAGCCAACTCCGCTAATGGCCGGCTCTCGGGTGATGTCATCTATCCCAGCTCAGCATCTTCATCTCTACAGTAGCTGCCTGTGTCACAGGGTGTGCTGTGACTTGCAAAGAGAAACAGGCAGAGCAACAGGTTCGAGCCAGCCAGGAGGCACCCCAAGAGGAGTTGTAGCTAACTAACATGTGCCAGTAGCCACGCCCACTCAGGGCCTCAACCTTGACCAGCTATTTGCTTCTTCAGCCCCAGCCCCAGTTTGCACCTCTGGCCACTGACCATGGAGCACTCTCTCTGGACAAGTGTGTGTAGCAGGAGGTTGTGTGTGGTGCATACATGCCAGTGCATGTGCACATGTGTGGAGAACAGAGCAGGACACTGGGTATCATCCTCTATTGCTTGCTGCCTCATTGTCTTGAGTCAGGGTCTCTCATTGAACTGGAAGTTCACCTCCTCTGCTAGGCTGACTGGCCACCGAGCTGGCAGGGTCTACCTATCTCCTCCTCCTCAATACTGGGGTTATAAGCATGCACAACCATGCCCAGCTTTTTACATGGGTGCCAAGGATCCAAATGCAGGTCCTTAAACTTACAGAGCAGGCACTCTTACCCACTGAGTCAATTTCCCAACCCCATTAGAACTTTTTTTTTTTTTTTTAGAAAAAATTTCCTATAACCCAGGCTAGCCTCAGACTATGTATTCAAAGATGACTTGAACTCCTCATCTGCTCACCTCTCTTTCTTGGGAGTTGGGAGTATAGGTCTGTGCTACCATGCCCGGTTAGAATTCCAGAACTTTCTGGGTTTCTCTCTGTCTCCCAATTTGAGTTTCACTGCCTCCCTTGGCCCTGGAGGTCTGCTAAGAACCGGCTCCAGCAAGTTGTTATCATTCAACTATGGGGGTCCCACAGACCTAGCCCTGCCAATACTGAGCAGTACCCAGCATAGCACACTGTAAGTCAGCCTCCATGGGCTGTGGCCTACTTGGCCACACACTGGCTACAGGATTGGGTTGGCTTGTGGCAGAAAGGAGGAGGGTCCAGATCACAGGATGGACCTGGAACCCTCCAAAATAAATAGCATGGAGTGGCTCAGATGCGATGAGTATGGGCTTGGCGGGGCCCCCTCGCTGCTGGAAGCAAGAGCATGTGTGTCAGAGGGTCTGGGCTGAGGAGCGTTGGCAGCGGCTGCAGATCTGGGAGCTGAGGCCGAGAAGATCTTTGCCCTGCTTACAGCCAGCACGTGCCAAATCCTCCCTGCCAGAGCATTTCCCAAGCAGGTTCTGGGAGCATGTTGGCACTGTTCGGGCTTCAGGAGGGAGAGAAAGGCAAGTGGGAAGTCAGCATCCCCTTCCCGGGCTTTGCTTAACCCCTGAAGAGCATTTCATCCCCATGAATGGAACTGGAAAGCACTCACGGATAACATGATGACAAAAACTGGGCCTCAGTTTCCAAATCTAGCAGGTATGCTAGGTCTGGCAGAAAGGAGAGCTGGCAGAATGTCATCACACACAACCATGGGAAATATGAAGCCGGGCATACCTAGCCCTCAGGCCCTTGTCATGGGTCAGCCTGGGGCCTAGTAGCTCCCAGAGTCCCTGCCAGGGCCTTGTGAGCCCCCCGAACCCTGGCTGAGTGCAGTTGTTGACAGGATTCTAATTGAGTCCTCACTGTTGTCATTCTTGGTGTATGAATGACATGTCTGGTGAGGTCCTGGAGCAGTAGATGGCAGCAGACCGTGGGCCGACGTGCATAAGAAGTATGCAGCTCACGTCAGCCCGGTGTCCCTCTCCACTCTCTCTGGCCTGAGTGCTGAGGGCTCACCAAGGAAGTGGGGGACAGAACACTTTCTCCACATGGGGAGCCCATGAGCCCCACTGCCTTGGTGCCAGTGATGGCCATCGTCTAAAGTCACTGCATAGTGCGCGTGCGCGCGCGCGCACACACACACACACACACACACACACACACACACACACACACTCTCCAGGCCAGGCTATCCCCACACCTGCCTTGTCCCCACTTTGCCCTTACTGTGTAAAGCACTTCATCTGACGGGATGACACTCTAAGCTGGGTGCACAGCTGACAGGCAGCCCTGTCTACTCGGGAGGCTAAGGCAGGAGGATTGCTTGAGCCCAGGAGTAAGAGACCAATCTAGACAACTTAAAGAGGCCCTAATTGAGAGAGAAAGAGGGGGGCAGAGACAGGGAGAGTGAGCATTTAGTGGTGGAGCACCTGCCTGCACAAGCTGGGCCTGGTCTGCATTCCCAGCATGCAGAAACAACCAAACATAAGTGTGCTCCTAAATTAGGACCAAGAGCCCTGGGCACTTGTGCAAGGTGGCCTGTCATTCGGGGGGGACAGAGCTTCCTTTAGCATGGCCCAGAGGCCCCCCATTATTTGCCTCAAAACTCACCCCTGCTAAGCCACTCTCTGAGGGATCCTAGGAACCCTCTACTCCCCCATCCCAAGCCTGCAGCTCTGGACCAGCCCCACCCCACAGGCCAACCATGCGTCCCACCCCACAGAAAGACTATACACTCAGACAATCCTCAATCTCCGTGCTGAACTCTCAGCCTGAAGCCATAGCTGTCTTTTCCCTGAAGGACATCCCCAAATCAGTATTCTCTGGGGACCCTCAGGCAGCCCTGTGGTGGCTCTCCCCTTCCAGCTATGCCCCGAAAACTTTCTACACAGCGGCCAGTATCACACGTTTCTCAAGACAAGTGGCGGCTTCTAGTATGCCTGGGTTCTTCCCTCTCTGGTTCCCTTGTGACACCACACCAAGGAAAGAGTACCATTGAGTCACACATGGCCTTGGGCTACCTCCCAGGGACTGGAGACAAAGAGCCATTGTGCTGCTTTGAGCTGAGGACAGTGCTGGGGAGGTGTCCATTCCCTGCATGTCCTGAAGCCATCTGAGTGTCTACCTGTCATCAGCTCCATTGTGTGTTACTAAACAGACAACTGCGTGCTGGACATGGGCAAGAGATGGAACTTTCCACTGCTTCCATGGACTCCGAGTTCGTGATGGAACTCAGCACACTCAGAAGCAGAGAACTCGGTTTCTGATATATGTGTCACACAGAGAATCAAGCTAGGAGTGGATGGAGCTGGGGGAGGCCAGACCCCGAGGATGGACACCAGAGCTGAGAGCCCAGAAAGTCAGCGAGTGAGCTGGAGGGCTAGAGAACATCTGGGGAGGATTCGACGGGGTGGTGGGTGCAAAGGCTGTGGGGTAGGAATGACCTATATGGTCTGGCAGATGGAGCCCCAGAGAGGAGAGTCACACAACCCCCAGGATGGCGTCACAGGATCAGCAGGGCCGGTGGTGAGGGGTGAGCTAAAGAAGGGGCAGATGAGCGTCTACCCAAGACAGGTCAGGCAGGCAGACCTCTGGCCTCCCACCCTCCTTTGCTCTCTGCTCTGGCCATTCAGCTTCCCTTTGGTTGCCTCCCCTAACACAACTCAGCACCACTCCTGGTTCTTTGCTTCCATGTTTCATCCCTGACATTGCAGGCGAAACAGGAGTCAGACCCCAGTGGTGCGGGACTGGAGACTCTGCCCAGCTCAGGCTGTGTAGCTCCTTTGCCAGTGGCCCATTCACAGGCAGGAAGAGGGTGGGCTCATCTGAGCAGGTTTCCAGACCCCCTCATCTAGGCCCATACCTTCCCACGTGCACACATCAGCATCACCCATGGAGCATCTGTCGCACCCCCAGTGCGTCACACAGGTATTCCCAAACCTTTCCTCCTCGGCCCTCAGAGGCCTGCCAGCCGTTTATGCCCATCACTCAGGGGGAAATAATGTCATTTCTATAACACTCACCCTCTCCACAGAAGTGCTGTAACCGTGCAGAGATGACATTGCGGGCAGCTCAGCTTGTGTGAGTGATGTAATCTTGGGGCGTTGCCTAGCAACCCCAACAACGTTTGGGAGACTCTGATTCTTGAGTGGGGTAAAGTCACATTTACACAGCTCAGTTAATCAGCTTCCTGGCAACTCCGCCAGGATGATCTCATTTTATTCATGATTATTTTATGTGAAACGCGCTTTTAGCTCTAAGAGAACACAAAGATTTAATTCAACACCCGCTATTGCTCTATGTTTCCAGGGTGTCGTTAACACGGCGTCCATGCAGATAACCATGGCAACACATGGGTAATTAGTGTATATGACGGGAGGTATTAATACAGAGCCGGCAGGCTCCCAATCAGCCCGATTACCACGTGTCATTACTGCAGTAATTACCTGCACTAACACGCAAATTGAACTAAATGGTCAATTGAAGTAAAGTGAATGGCTTTTTATTCTAGTCCCTAAATAATGTGTCTGCTTGGCTGAGTAGTTCAAGGTAAATAAAACTCTTAAATTGATGGCCTCGCTGCCACCCCTCCCTGGGTGGGAGAACTAGGCTCTGAGGGTCCCCAAGGGTCCTCACAGTTTTAGCAGGAGGTAATGTTCCCCTCCCCCAGGCTCTGTACCACCTCCCCACGAGAGGAAAACCGCCTCCGCTGTCCATGCAGAGCTCTGGTCCTCATTAACTATCCTCAGCCATCCCGCAAGGGTATCTCAGTCACCCCCAAGGGAGGGCATGGAACTTTCCAGAATGAGGGTGGAGGGCAAAAGGCAATGGCCTTCCTCCCAGGGATGTTTCCTTGCTCCCCTCGGGTAGGTGGGGCAGAAGCGAATCTCTGGCTTCCTGTTACAGGATGTTGGGGGGGAAAGGTCAAAGGTCACCCTGCCTTTATTAACAGAGCGTTTCTGAAATTCCATAAACTTAGAAGATCTTCAAACAGGAAGTCACACTGGACCTCTCAGAGAAGCACGCACATTCCAAGTCTGAACGCTGATCCCTTCAGAGGGGACAGGGGGGAGGGGGTGGGGACATCAGCCGGGGGCCCTGGTGAGGAGACAGTGAAGTCAACCTTGTCCCCCTTGTGACACAGCAATGGGGTCTGAACACGGCAGTTTAGTCCAAAGCTCGGAGTCTTTAGGTTTCTTCCAATGGGCCTGTCCCTGAGGCCACCTTCAGGGCTGGCCTAGAGGCCTAGGCAAAAGGATACCTTGAAGGCAAAGACAGGGTACAGGCCTCTCTGAGGAAGCCTGCTTAAGCTGGAACAGGGAGGGTGAGGGCGGATAAAGAACAGAAGAGGGCTAGAGGAATGGGTCTGGGGGGGGGGGGCGATGACGGATGTCCTGCCACACGGAGTGTGCAAACTCCACCACAGCCCTGTTGCTCCCCAGGGTTGCAGTGCAGAGGTCAGGTAGGGAAGGCGCTGTCTGTCTCTACAAAGCACACTGAGGTCCTCAGCTCTCAGAACTGAGGTGACAGAGGACCAGAAGTGAAAGTCACTCCATGGCAAAGGGGGTCTGTGGCTGTCCCTGCACAAGGCACGGTGCACGCACAGATCCGTGACACCCCAGAGATTACAAGGGTGCTTACAGCAGTACCATCCTCCCCACGAACCTCTCTAGAGTGGTAGGGACATCAGCCTACAGGCTTCAGGTGAAGACGAAGGTGAGGCTGGACCTAGGACACGCCCTGTGGTCGGTGGGGACTGTGACTAGGGAGACATACGACACAGGCTTATGAAAGAAGAGAACAGAAAAGCCAGCAGCTCTGGTTCTGGCCATGACATCTGGGGACACTGCAGCCTGAGTGGGTAGCCACATAGAGGCGGAAGGAGACTGATGCCGCCTCCAAGCAAGAGGCCTGTGCCCATGGGACAGGTCCACTCTGCACCCAGGACACAGCACTGCAGAGCGCAGTGGCTGCTGATGCCAGATGAGGGGCCCAGGAACCAGGCTGGTGTTACTGAATAAATGTCCCCCACAGGCCCATGTGCTGAACTCTGGATCCCCAGACGGTGGCAGTGTTTAGGGAGATTTGAAAACTTCGGCAGGTAGGGCCTTGCTGGAGAACGGAGGTTACTAATGGGTCTCATGTCTCTGGTGCCTCCCCTCCCGTCTCTCCACTTCCTGGCTGTGCTCAGCTGAACAACTGTGCTCCACATGTTCCCACCGCCACAGTGTCCTGCCCAACAGCAGGGGGCCAGGTGACCAGGGAGCAAACACTTGAAACTGTCCGTCCAAATAAACCATCCTCCCTTTGGCTGTTTCCAGCAAGGGTTTAGGTCACATGACCTGGAAGCCAGTTAATGACCGTCTGGGAACACCGAACTCGCTAGGGTAGGCAGGGCAGGACACATAAAGCAGGTAGAGCCAGCCCCAACTCCTCCAAAGCAGAAAGAGAAAGAAAGGTTTTAAAACTGGAGAAGAAGCTGGGCGGTGGTGGCACACGCCTTTAATCCCAGCACTCTGGAGGCAGAGGCAGGCGGATCTCTGTGAGTTCGAGGCCAGCCTGGGCTACCGAGTGAGTTCCAGAAAAGGCGCAAAGCTACACAGAGAAACCCTGTCTCAAAAAACAAAAAAAAAAAAAAAAAAAGATTCTGGAGAAGAAACGCCAGGAGCTGGTAAGACGGCTCACTTGGCAAAGCAACAGCCACATAAGCATGAGGACCTGAGTTCGGATCCCCTGCCTCTGTGTTAAAGTTGGATATGATGGTGTGTGTCTACAGATCCAGTTCTGGGGCATAGAGACAGGCTGGTTCCTGACCAGCCAGCCTAGCCAAACTGATGAGCTCTTAAGAAATAAGGCGGAAAGGGTTGCAGAGGCTCAGTAGTTAAGGGCACGGACAGTTCTTTTATAGAGGACCCAATTCCCACGCGGAGGCTCTAAACCACCTTAACTCCAGTTCCAGGGGAGCCAACACCATCTTCTGGCCTCTGTGAGCGCCGGCACACACGTGGTGCACACACACACACACATATGTATAAAATCTTTAAAAAGTAAACCTCTCTTTAAAAAATAAAATAAGGGGACTGGAAAGATGGCTCAGTAGTTAAGAGCACTGGCTTCTCTCCCAGAGGACTCAAGTTCAATTCCCAGCACCCACACGGCAGCTTGCAACCATTCATAACTCCAGTTCGAGGGAATCAGACACCCTCTTCTGACCTCCTAAGACACTACACATACGTGGTGCATACATAGAAATGCAAGCAAAACAGAGAGAGAGGAGAGAGGAGAGAGAGAGAGAGAGAGAGAGAGAGAGAGAGAGAGAGAGAGAATCCTTAACACAGGACCTGAGGGCCATATCACTCACCGGTAAACTCTACTTGTGGAAGGCTGGCTCCAATTCTAATCTTGCCCTGACTTTTCCAGAACACAGATCAGACATACTCTTTGACTGTACTGTGAGAATGACATAGTCTTAAAATTAAACTAAAAACAAATGAGAATGTTAAAGCCAGAAGGTAAGCAAGGGGCCAACGACTCAACATTTAGTGATAGGGTCAGGAACAGAGCACAGGACAACACACACTTTGTGCCCCAGGGATTTAGTGTTCACAGCCCTAGAAAAAAAAGAGTATCTCATGTATAGAGACGTAAACATACATATCAAAAGATTAGAGTGGAATTCAGCAGTGAAAAGAGCAGCCATGAAGAGCTGGTTTTATATTAGGGGTACAGATTTTATTATTATTATTATTATTATTATTATTATTATTATTATTATTATTATTTTAAAAGAGATCAGTGTAAACAGTGCAGGAATGGAGCAAGAGTCTTATCTCAAAGGTGCTGGAGCACACACCTTTGACCCCCGGCCCCAGCAGGCAGGGCAGTCGATGTCTGTGAGTTCAAGGCCAGCCTGGTCTTCACAATGAGAGCCTGCTGTGGTTGTTGTTGATGATGATGTTGTTGCTCTTTTTAAGATCTAGAGGATGAGGAGGATGCTGCCAGGCACAGTCTTCTGGCCATGAACTCACTGAGGCTGTACCTACCTCCACCAAACCTACCCAAGATGATGCCAACAGGTAGCATGCCAACAGGCAGCACTAGCTGGACTCTGGGAGGGAAAGATAAAAGCAAGGAGAGGACTTGAAGGGGAGAGCCTCTTGGGGGGGGGGGGTCTGGTTGTTTAGGAGGAGGAAGGGGAGGAAGGGGTGGAACTAATTAATATCCACTGTTTACATGTATAAAATTCTCAGGGCTGGAGAGATGGCTGAGTGGTAAGAGTACTTGCTACTCTTTCAGGGGACCTGGGTTCTGTTCTCAGTACCCTCAGGGCAGCTGACATCCATCCCTCACTCTGGTTCCAGGTGGTCTAGTACCCACATCTGGCCTTGGCAGGGACCAGGCATTCACACAGTACACTTACATACATGCAGGCAAGATATATAGGCACAAAACTAAATTTTTATATCTTTAAAGAATCAATAAAAGATACTCTATTTAAAAAGAAAGATCTGGCCGGGCGGTGGTGGCGCACGCCTTTAATCCCAGCACTCGGGAGGCAGAG